TGAAGGGTCTAGAGGGTAAGTCCTGTGTGGAGTGGCAGAGGGAACTGGATTAGTTTAGCCTGAAGGAGACTCAGGGGAGACCTTGCCACTCTGTACAACTACCTGAAAGGAGGTTGTAGCCAGGTGGGGGTCAGCTCCTTCTCCCAGGGAACTAAGTGACAGGACAAGAGGACATAACCTCAAGCTGTGCCACAGGAGACTCAGGTTGGATATTAGGACAGATTTCTTCATGGACAGAGTGATTAGACATTGAAGTAGACTGCCCATGGAGGTGGTGAAGTCACCGTCCCTGAAGGTGTTTGAGAAAATCCTGGACATGGCATTTAGTGCCATGGTCTGCTTGACATGGTGGTGCTCAGTCATAGGGTAGACTCAGTGGTTTCAGAGGTCTTTTCCAACCTAGTCAATTCTGTGATTGTTTCTGTGAGAGGAAGGCTAAAAAGATCACATCTCACCCGAGTCTTAAAACCTGCTTGAAAGAAGTTTCCATTTTTATCTTCTTCCATGTTGATCTCTGCTTCATACTGACCTTCTTAAATATTGGTTATTTTTACGTAAGGTTTTACATAGGGCCAACAGCATTTATCAGAATACTTTTTTTATAGAGAAGCACAAAGATGAATATAAAGAGGAGTGTAAGTGAGATTTTAAGGTTTTTTGTGAATATTGTTTCTACAGCATTTTAAATCAACTCTGCTTAATTCTTTATTTGGAAGGAAAAGTAATATTGAGAAATGTTCTCATCCTTTACAAATATTAATTAAAATAAATTTAAAACACTATTATCGCCAAATGTGAAATGTAGTTATGAAACTGAGGCACATATGGGCTATCTCACTGTGCCACAGATTGTCTTTGTCAAAACTCTGCAAAGAACTTGCTAGGATGCTAACAAAGTCCTCTTTGCACCTCTGACCTGCAGGTGTTTTAATGCTTCGTCCCCAGAAAGATGCATTATAGTACCTTTTAAATGTTTTAAATTACCTTACATCATGTAATTTTTGATGAATTTATTTTCATGCTAGAGTTTTTGTGGCAAGACAGAATATGGTAAATACACTCTTCTTCTTTAAGGTTTTTTCAGATAGTTTGTTAAATTAGATGAACCCTTTTTCTTCTTAGTTTTGTAGTGACAGAAACCTTCCATTCTGAAATGTAATCTATATGTAGATTTTGTCTCTCTTCTCATGTATAGTGTTTTCTACCCAATTTGTGTACTTATTAAGGGAATGGGTTTCAGTGGGCCAACAGTTTGACTCTGTGATTGTAGTGGCTCTGGCTGGATGGAGTTAACTATCCTGGCAGCCCATATAGTTCTGTGGCTTGCATTTGTGCTTCAGCAGGGTTGATAACACACCAGGGATATCACTCCAGTGTTTTGGCTGTTGCTGAGCAGCACTTACATAGTGTCAGGGCTTTCTCTCCAAAACACCCCTCGATCCCCAAGGCCAGTAGGCTGAGGGTGAACTGAGACCCTGACAAAACATGTGACACAAACTGACCAAAGGGACGCGATCAGCAATAAAAGCTGAGGAGAGGGAAGAGGGTGCAGAGACGTTACTTGCTGTGGCATTTGTCTTCCCACTTAGTCATTATGGGTGCTGAGGCTCTGCTTCTCAGGATGTGAATGAAAACTGCCAGCTGATGGAAGTAGTAATGAAATTTCTCTTGCTTCTCTTGCATGTGCACCTTTCACTTCAATTAAGCTGCCTTTGTCTCAGCACAGGAGCTTTTCTGACTTGTTTTCTCCCCATGTACTGTTGGGGGGATGAGGGGGAGAGGGCGTCTGGCAGCCAGCTGGGGTCAACCCACTACAATAATAGAAAACTTCATCTTCTGTACATATATCACCTTCAAAATAGGACGTTTTAAGAGTTTCGGTCCATTGGTATCAATTATGGCTCTGAAGGCCAATAGTGACATTTTGCTAAATCTGTATATAAGTAGCTTTTTTAAATACTTAATGTTGTTGTAGCCTGAAGGTTCTTGGTTGCTATCTGGGGTTAAACCAGGACACACTGAAATTCCCCTTCCACATGTACCTCTAGCAACTGACATTGTATTTCTGTTATTTCATTTTACGTCCCTGCTATAGTGTTTTTTGTTTTTTTCTTTTAAGGCACAACAAAATCAGAGGATCGAGCTGCTTTGTTGAAGAAGTTCAATGAACCTGGGTCACAATACTTCATCTTCTTGCTGAGTACAAGGGCTGGAGGGCTAGGCTTAAATCTCCAGGCTGCTGACACTGTTATAATCTTTGATAGTGACTGGAATCCTCATCAGGTTATTTTTATTTTTCTTATCTTTGTGAAATGTGCAAAGAATTCATGATGCTTTTTTTGGGTTGCTTCTTTAAATAAGGGATATAGCCTGGGATGAATGGAAAAAAGATCTAGGTAAGTCATAAAACACTGCTTTGAGAGAAGTTAGTGAGGCAAACCGCCACAATCAGGAAATGTTTTGGTTTGAATTAGTGAAGTAGTTCTTTGTCTGTGCATATATTTTATTTGAGTCTCCGGGAATCCTCAGAGCTAGGAATGTTATAAACCTGCTTCATTTGTATAACTGTACTCACTCTTCAACCGTTAGCATATTAATAAGTAAATTCCTATTTTGAGCCTTTGGTAGGTAGGTTGCAATATTCGATAAAGGATGTGCTGGGTGCTACCTGGCTCATGAAACTGGTGACCACTTGAGTGCTGTAGTCTTGATCTGAGACACTGAGCTTTCACTGTTGGTGTGGCTGCTTAGTAGTGAGTACAGATCGCCAGGAATAAAGGGTATCAAACCAGCTTGGCAAAATTTAAACAGCCACAAGAGGTAGCTGAAGATGTCTTTGTCATCTAACGTATTTTTTTCCCTGTTTTTTTTTAACGACATAGGTTAGGTATCTCTGGAAGTACATAGATAGCTATGTCCATGTTTTTGGCTGTTAGGAAAATGATATACTCAAGTAAGGGACGTGAGTCTAAAAAGAGTTTTACTCTCTCTGTTTATTCTCTCTGTTAAATCACTCTCGGTGTTCTTTGCCTAATAGGACTTGCAGGCCCAAGACAGAGCCCACAGAATTGGTCAACAGAATGAAGTTCGAGTCTTGCGGTTGTGCACTGTGAACAGTGTGGAAGAGAAGATACTTGCTGCTGCAAAGTATAAACTGAATGTAGATCAAAAAGTTATTCAGGCAGGAATGTTTGATCAGAAATCTTCAAGCCATGAAAGGAGAGCCTTCCTACAGGCTATATTGGAGCATGAAGAAGAAAATGAGGTAAGGTAGATAGAAATAATTAGTAAGAGGATGTTTCAGGAAGTACTGAGCAATTTTTGTTTTCATCAGTTACAAAGATTGTCATATCCTTTCAAATTAGAAATGGCATCCTATTCTTACCATCCAGTCAATGAAATAACTTAATTTTTCTCTTTTTTTTTTTTTTTTCTCATCACAGTAATAGGTTATAATGTAATGGTTGTGGTGCAATGGTTATGATTAAATCTTCATGTAGAATTAGGCATGTGACCTAAAAGCCATTCTGCCCTTTATAATTTTGGCAAATAATTGCATTCAAACAAAGATTTTTTTCCAAAACAGATTATGAACCAGTTCCTGAATCCATTTATATGTTAAACTAGGTAATACAGTTTTCAGGCTTGCTGAGCAGCTAGCACTATCTAGGCTCACTCATGAAAGACCCTGGTTGTTACATTTCTTTTGGAATGTGGGTAGGAGTTCAGATCTGCTTTGATGTGCTTTGGGCTTAAGCCAAGCCAGCAATGTAACTGTTTCTTTCTGGTGCTGTTTCCAGCCTGGACTTCTCATGACCACTTCCTCTTGAAGAAACAATTAACTGTTTAAAAACAGCTGTGAAGTCTTTTCTTATAATAGTGGGAAGTGAAGTTATAAAATCACTGAGTGTATGTCCCTGCCTTTTTTTATTGTGAGCTTATTTTTCTGCGTGCCACTGCAGACTCTTCTCTTAATTTAAACTAAATTCTGGATTTGGATGAAAGCCATATTTGGGAGAGAGTGTATAAACATATCAATTATACTGATGACACACACCAAAAAATCCTGCAGTAACTTTTTCCAGCCTTGAAAATGCTCTGTTAAAGATGGGAGATTTCAAAACTGATTTTGCCTCTGAGTATGCCTTGCATGTCTGAATATGGTGCACACTGAAAGAAAACATGATTCTGTAGCCCGTGTCTCACTGGCATCCTTCATTAGGGCTGGACTCGATGATCTTTGAGGTCTTTTCCAACCCAGTTGATTCTATGATTGTATGATTACATGGTGTAAAGTTTCAAAGACCAAGGAGTTTACTTCTTCAGTCGTTAATCCTTTTGTGTAAACCCTGTGTCTTGTGCATAAGACCAATTTTGTATTGGTTTATTATTTTTCATAGAAACTAAAGAGGAGTGACACATACTTTTATCAGTGATTATTTGTGGTGCGAATGCAGAAATGGGGTGGTACCTAAGTAGCATTTTTGATTAAGTAAAAATGTAGTTCTGAAGCAGTCAACACTATCTGTATGAGTAGATAGATTAACTTGAAACTAGCAGAAATTTTCAGTAAGCCTGTGGAAATTGTTTTTTTAGATTGACATAAATTTACGTTTTCAAAGCCCTAGAAAGCAAAGAGTGCTTGAAAAGTCAGAGCTGTAGCTCAGGCCTACTTGACAAGCCTTATTCATAGATGACTTAACAGTATGCTTCTCTGTGTTGCTTACATGCACTTGGTCTGCCATCCTGAAGCAAGCACAGATTTAAACAAAGCTTGCTTGCCGTAGTCCAGCATCAGTCCCTAAAGTAAGCATTGGTATTGCAGTCAGACTCCTAGCAGCCAGACTGAAGCTGAAGTTTTCAAGTAAATTTCTTTGTGGACAAAGACTATGCAAAACTTTGATGAAACACTGAAACTCTTGAGGGCCTAAGAGGGATTGAATTTGCACCATCCTGCCTGGTCAGCCTTTTCTTCATTGCAGCAGCACTGAAAACAAATCTGAGTATCCAGTGAGAGATTGACAAGAAAAAACTAAATCTCTCAGTTAAAAGTTAAAATATCGACAGCAATATCAACAGTATCAAAACAATTTTGACTTGCAAATATGGACTAACACATCTAAAAAAGAAATTGTTACTGATCACCTGGTTAAATATTCCCATTCTAAGCATACTTTAAACTTTTCATGCTTGTATGTAGCACACTGTGTTCTGGTTGTACATTCTTAGTAGCTTTTGTAAATTCAGCACTGAAACTCCCCTTACTTTTCTTTCATCTTTCCTCTTCTTTTTGCTTTCTTTTTTTAGCAGTTAAAGCTATGAGGGAATTTCTTTGTATTTAGAAAGATGTATTAGAGTAATAGTAATGTATGAATAGTGATTAAGAGTAACTTGTTCATGGAGTACTTTTTTGTTGGCACTGGTGTTTATTAATAAATTTTTCTTCTGTCCAGGTCTACCTTGTTGATAACAGGGTTATTCATTCTAACCACAGATAATGTAGACACTGTTGTTACAGCTTCTGCTGTGGGTTCCCTTATTTTTTACAGGTCACAAGTTACTCTGAGGTGATAGGAAGCATGTGAAACTTTCACCATGGTCACATTCTTCACTAATCATAAAAGAAAGGATCTGTAGTCTTGTTTTTCTCTGTGTATAACCATGTGATTTGCTTTTCTTGAACATGAAGGAGCAGTGACTAGTGAACTAGAATTAGCTCTCTGTCACTTTCCCAATTGCTTTGTTCATGTTAAAATTTGAATTACATATTCATTAAGATACAACAGTCTTCCTTTAGACATTAATAAGTGGGGTTGTTTTTTTTTCTGAGGTGTAGAAATCCTGCTGCTGGAGGGAGGATAAGATGTGTGAATGTATAAAGGCCTTTTATTTCTGGGAAAAAAGCTGCAGAATGTTAGTTTCTGGGGTGTTGTATGCAGCATTCTGTATTCCCATTACACTAGGTTCAGTAAATGAGTTTTCATGAAGAATTATAGGTCTGTAATATACTGTAATACAGGTTCAGAAAGCCCTGTGTAGGATTCACTGTAGTTGTGTTGTTTTGAGTGACTTGTCTGGGTTCTCAAAATAATTCAGGGAGGGAGACTGAACATTGCAGACTCTGTGTTAAAATGTGTACTGTAGCTGCTCAGCTTTAACAGTTTTAGTTGAACTCTACAGTTCTAAATTGTTTTTTCCATGTCTGTGTCTGGTTTTTTTGTGAAATATTTAATTTTGCCTGCCATCAAGTGTGAGCATGTCGATTTGTAAGCAGATAATGGTCAAGAGGGATTCAGCAGGGTTATTTTCCATTTAAAAGACATTTAATTTTTTTTCATTTAATCAGGACTTCTTCGTTCTCCTTGCTTTAACAGTAAAGGCCTCAAAATGTAGAACAGTGTTTCTGAGGGAGTACTGTAGAGCAGCAGAACAGAAATACATGAATTTTAACCAAAGCACTAGGTGTGCTTCTGACCCAGGAAAACCACAACCCAGAATTTCCTGGTTATGTATTTGCTCATTTCCTCATTCTCGAATTATGAAGGTAGAAATAAGTCCTAGTTGTCTCTCTAATTATGTCTATTCTGAATAGCTGAACACTTTAAAAGTTTTAGTTTCACTTTCAGTGTTTCACGTGTTGCCAGAGAATGAGAATCAGTGGAACTCTGACATGATGGAGGCTGTTACTTCAGGCTGTATGTAACTTCTTTGTAATAACTTTATCCATCTCTGTGACCAGGAGGAAGATGAAGTCCCTGATGATGAGACTCTGAATCAGATGATTGCTCGACGTGAGGAGGAATTTGATCTCTTCATGGTAAGGTCATAAGTCAAGTATCCTTCCCCGTGTTTTTAGCAGAGGCCTTAACCTTTTCTCACTGAAATTTTGGAAAACTTTATTGGAGTAATAGGCTTTATTTACTTGCATTGTTTGTCTGAGGAAAGAAGTGGTCTGCTTAAATACAGAGTTCTTCATGTGACAAAGACTTCAGAGATCCTTGCAGACAGTACAGTGGAACAGTAGCAGTCTGGAGGAAGAGTCTCACACGACCTGAGAAATTTATAATGCAAAAATGATCGTCACAGTTTGGCTTGCTAACTCTACATCATACTTTCACTAATCCACATTTTTTCTTATTTTTGGGCTATGATATTGCCAAGGACAGCTATAGGAACGTAACAAAGTAAATAGTAAAGTAGTAAAATTAGTTAAATTAGTAAATAGTAAGCAAATAGTAAATTAGTAGACTGACAATGCTGTTTTCTTGGTGAATTTACTGGGATTTACTGATGGTTTTGTCAAGGACCCAGCTGGCTGCATCTCTCCTGCTGCAGCTATTGAACAGTTGCCAAAGTAGAGCTAGTATCAGTGGTTCAAATGTGAACCACTGATTTTTATTACTACTTCCCTTTTTGTTACTGTTACTACAGCACTGATGGAATAATTACTAAAGTGCCTGTGTAGGCATGGCTCTGGCCTTCTAGTGTTGATGATTGCTGGAGGACCTTTGAGGGTCACTGACACCAGTAGGACAATACTTAATTACTGAAGGTGAAGCACCATCCCCTCTTAATACTACAGAGGCTGCTGTGTTCTGCAAGGTGGACCAAGACAGACACTCATATATGCATAAATGAAAGTGTTTCAGGTGCAATGCTTGAAACAACTCCACCACACAACACCACGCAACACCACACAACACCACCACAGAAACAACTCCTTGAATCTGAAATGACAGTATACCAGAACTAAGTGTATAAATTAGTGGTTTTACACTGAGTGGGTTGGACATTTTTTTCAATTTGGAAAGTTAAAGATAACCATTCATAGCTCACAGGATATCAATACTCCGTGGCTTTTCTAAACTGGAAGATTTAAACCTTGAGTGTACTTAAGCTCCATGCTTAGGTGTAAGCGTTCATAGCGTAGGACTTTTTTTTATTTCCACCGTTTAGGCCTTATTGAGGACAGCATACATACAATTATTTTATTAGTTATAATAAAATAAGGCAGAGTTGGTTTGGAAAGACATGTTTCAGGGAGATGGGACCAGGGGTTTCCCAGAGATAAGTATGGTTTGAGTAATATTCTCAGGAAAAAAAAAAAGTCTGTATCTCTGACATCTTAAGTTAACTGAGAGTGTCTTTTCATTTTCCTTCCCAAGCACTTTTATTTCAGAAAACAGCTATTAAAATACACTATCTTAATGTTCAGTCTTTGTCTTAGACATAGAAATCAAGGTCATCAAGGAAAAAAAGAGGTTTTAGCATTCACTTCATATGCTTAATGTCATTATAGTATCATGTCCCTGATTTCATGTTCTCTGGTACAGAGTAGAGAAATCTCATATGTCTCATTGGGACAGTCTCTCAGTGGAATGTTCTAGTTGCCATGTTAGCAATAAAATAAGCCATGTGTGTAGTTTGAACGAGACATTTTTTGAAATTAGTTCAGAATGAATGAGATGTTCTTTAAAAGGTGAAATATGGTGGTCTGCTATAAAAAACTACAGCCTATACAGCCCACTCACCATTGTCTGAAGTAATGGAGAATGGGGAAAACCCACATGTGTTTATAGTTGCATCTGGAATGTAGTTGGACCTACAGACTGAAGACACACATCTTGCATTCTTCTTTTCACCAAGTTTAGAAATAAGACAGGGCACAAGGCAAGATGAGGAAGTCAACTTGTATCATGCAATTCTTGAGGAAGTGTTTTGGAAGTGCCTGTATTTGAAAGGGCCAAGGTGAGAGAAGGTTCAGCATATTCAGCAGTGCCATCATTAAGCCTCAGTTACTAAATTTGGCTGGATTTATCTCTGCCTCTAGAGATGTAATACCTCTGAATTCACACATATCTGTGTCTTGACTAGGATTGTAAAAGGATGATATGTATAGTTGGCATCCTGTGTTAAATTAAGCATCATGCATATGAGGAAAGGGTTTGCACATACTTTTTGTAATTAATCTTTACTGATCCGAACAGTAGCCTGTTAGGATACTACAGCCAAGTCTGGTGCCAGTCTATTATGTTATTTTTTCAAATATGAAAATTAAATTCTCGGTGGCTTAGCAACTGATTATTGGGTGTTAAGTACTGTATGACTCTTCAAAAGAACTATTTGAAATGGCTATTCATATTAACTGATTTGAGTACTTCAGGCAATGCAGATGCAATTCACAGGACCATAGGAAGTTAGGTCAGTGTGTAGTCAATAGAGAGAGGTGCTTTCCCAGGGAAATTGTAAAGCACCTCTCTGATGGGTCTGCAGTAGGTCATGGGAATGTATCCTAAGTATCCCTGTCTGTTTTCTGAGTTAATTATCACCACACTTGAAATTAATTTTATGACTATTTAAATTTCATCTTAAAGTCTTAACATTACCTTCTGATGTTATTAACACTTTCTCTAACTATATCTGATCTTTTTGGGGTTTGATTTTTGTCTAATACAGCAGTAAGACCAGGAAATATTCAGAGTTTAAACATTTTGGCTTTCTGCCAGTGTGTAGGCAAGTGCTTCTTTGAATTTATTAATTCTGTCTTTTGATTCCTTTTTTCTAATCCCAACTTTTAAATTTTCTTCTTCTGATATTCTGGCTCACAAAGCTAGTATGTTTTCAGTTAATCTTTTTAGTTACATAATAACAACACCTTATGGAGACATTGTGAGGGAATGATTAGAATTTGCAGATCACATTTATGGATACAAAAAGCCTGTACAAATAAGGAAGAGTTGTTTAATTAACAGAAGACAACAGTGTTCTTGAGATCTGCTTTCTGTCACTCAGCTGCTGTGTTGTCTCAGTTACTTCAGTGAAACCTAGTTATGGTGTAGTGAACATGACCAAAAAACAACAATCCAGTGTAGCTTCTTCTTTGTAGAGTTGCATTTGGAAGTATATAAAAGCGTCATGAAAGGGAAATACATTGGTTTAAAGTTTGAAGTATCATTAGATAGCTAGGCATTCACATGGTTTGTTTAGTAATTGCCCTTAAAACCTCTTTATCCCTTCCCAATTGCCACTGCAGCGCATGGACATGGACCGTCGCAGGGAGGATGCCAGAAACCCTAAACGTAAGCCCCGCTTGATGGAGGAGGACGAATTACCATCCTGGATTATTAAGGATGATGCTGAAGTTGAAAGGCTTACATGTGAAGAAGAAGAAGAGAAAATATTTGGAAGAGGATCCCGTCAGCGCAGGGATGTGGACTACAGTGATGCTCTCACAGAGAAACAGTGGCTGCGGGTAGGTTGTACCTTCTGTTTATTTGGGTTTTACACTTGAAATTTATTCATTTGTGGTGTTTCGCTTTTTTCTTTTGGAAGACTGCACCAGGGAGAGCACAATATTGTAGTTAGGCTTAAATATCCATATTATCCAGCTTTTGCTGTTGTGTTGGAGACATAAATAAGTTTTGAACTGCACTGCAGAAACTTAAATCAGTGTTACTCAGTGCTGAATCAGGGCTATGATAGCATTCTATTGAAACTATTCTATTGCCATGGATCTTGACATATTTCTTACATCTTTAGTTGCTTTCATAAGTGTCATCTTTAAAATACACGAAGAATTCTTTTATGATAGAGAACAGTAGTAATCAATGTATATTACAACTTTCTGTGCTGCAGAAGCTTATTATGTTTTTTAATACCTGAATATAACCCTTTTAAGAATTTGGAAATTTTCACTTAAGTTTTCTTTCTCTCAGGCTATTTAATTTCCAAGTCTTGAGCATTTCTTGACTCCACTGAGAGCATAACACTTGATAAATTATGTAAGAATTTAAGACCTGAAAGCAAAGATTCTAAACTTAGCTTGCACCAAATCTGTGGGGTTTTTTGTACTTGAGGATTCTTGCTGTTCTATGAAATACGCATTTAATGAATTCTAATGCATGTGCCTTTTCAGAATGGTAGTAACAGCATGGTAAGGATTGATTGTTGGAAAGTCTTTTCAGAAACAAGAAATCTGAAATACTATGGTTTCCAAAGCTTGTAGATAAAGTATTACATGTGCAAAACTAATTTACATGGTTTGACAGAGTAAGTTTTGTTGTAATTACAGACAATACCAACATGAATAATGCAGTGTAGTTTTTGTGTCTAATTTACTAAAGTTAGGTAAAAATCTTAACTACTTAGTTTCAAACGTGATGCATGTAAGAGTGCATTGTGTAATACTGTGCGAAGAGCTAATCCAGATTCTGCTGCTTAGAGGAGCAAAGGTTTGAATTATACATGAGCTGTAAATTTAAGCAAGTCTGTGAAACTACAGTGCTTTGATACTTGATGTTTTCAAGTAGTCAGTGGAAAAGAAAGACCTAGAAACATAAACTCCTATCTGGATTCTTGAACATTTACCTTGTCCTACAGTGGAAGTGCTTGCAGTATAGTATACATCTACTCAAGGTCATTTTAAGCTAATGTTTTTTAATGATGGAATTGTCTGGCTATGGCAGCATAGACCTTAGGTATGGTTTTCATGTTTTGTGTCTTGAGTTGGCTCTAATATTTGCATTAAGTGCTTTATTGTCAAAAATGGCAGCCCTCAAATAAATTGTCTGAACCTTCTTCCTACTCAAGGTGAAATCATCCAGTCCTGTTTACTTATATGTATTTGTAATAGAGATTCATCTAATCTGTTCTTCTAAGTGTTCGTAGCAGTGAATGTAGAAGTCCACATGGGAATGTTCTTAACATGAATATTTGGCTTTCCCTTGTATTTTATCTGAATTTTCCTGTTGGATTTTAAGCTAATTACTTCTTGACCTAATCACTCTGGTCATGCAGAACAGGCTGCTATCTTTCTTTTTTCAACATTTCTTTGTGTCATAGAAGAATTGTCTCCCTGTTCTAACTGCCACTGCTCATGCAGTGTCTTTCCTCATAGTTCCTGTTTTCTAGATTCCCCCTGGTGGTTCTATGTGTGACTGATGTCTTTCTGTAAGTCAAAAGCTTTGGTCAAAAGCTAGACATCCAAATTGCAGGTATAGCCCTGTTTGAATAAGGAGGAGTTCTTTTGCATAAATTTTAGGATACTTACACCTCACAATCCAGTATTTCATTTTCTTAACGTGAAAGGTATTGAGTCATGTTGAATTTTTGATCCAGTATAAGCCCTTAATCCTTTTCTGTGGATCTACTTCCTTGCCAGCTTTTCAGAATCATGTTTCGTATAGTCGATCTTTCCTTCCTGGTAAGAGGATTTAGCATATGTTCTTGTTGAATGATACCCAAGTTTTCTTCACCAGAAGTACTCTGAATTTTAAACCTGTCCTTAGGTGAACTTCTGGTCAACTTTTGAGATTCAGTAGGCATACCTTCTATTCTGTCTTCCTAAAGACACTAAAAATACTGAAAAGTGCTGGACTGTTTGATAAAGAGCCTATTCGGAAAACAATTTCTTAGCAGTTCTCCATTTCCTTGGTAGTAATTGTTTTCATTGTTTGTTTCTGAGACTGTTTTGTGAGGCCAGCTTAGAAACCTTGCTCATCAAGATGCTACATGTACTGCCTTTTTTTCACCATGGCTTGTTATTCTGTTGAGAGAAATTACTCTCCCTTCACTCTATTGAGTTACCTTAAGTCAGATTGCTTCAGGATGCTTTGCAGTCACTGCTGTATACTTAGTTTAATGTGCTTTCTGGTGCTCTTGAGAGTGTGGTGAAACAATGCAAGAGTAGGAACTACTAATACTTGTTAGAATCTTTTCAGTGGAATTACATTTATAGTGTAACACTGCTAATGCACATTAAAAGTTAAACTTCTCATTGGGTAGATAATGACATATAAGTCAAGTTCTCTGATTTTTTTCAGTATCTTAATTTCCATGTGTGTAAAACAGTTATTTGTCACACCTATTTGCCTCTCAGCAGAATTACTTTCATGTCTTCTCTGAGAATGTTTCCTTTTTTCTGTAGTAACAACTCTAGAAGATGTCATAATAATTGTGTACAATATATTCAAGGGAATATTTGACTATGTAAGAATCTAAAATGGTGATAGATGGTTTATAAGCACTTGTGTCTTGTGGCTTTGTCACTGTAACTTGTAACAGCGTCCCGTGTATTGCTTGAAAACAGTTGTTTCATGTGAACTTGGATGCAGTGAAGTACTTACATCAGTAGAACTGAAAAAAAATAGAAGAGCTAGTAAGTTCTGAATTAACCATGTTACTTTAATTCATAAGAAACCTTTTTAACCATGTTCTGTATCATGCCATTCTCCAAAGGTCATATTTATTGCGATATTGTAGAAGATTTATTTACCAGCAGCAAGGGATGGCACTCAGGTTATTCTCTTGCTGTGGCTGCTGTTGCAGCTTTACACCTGTCTTCTCAGGGCATTTTCTGAAGTAAAACTTTGCATTTCTGAATAGTAAGTGGATTTCATAATAATATTGTCTAGTCCTCAGCTGTCTCTTTTTCTTTTGTGTCTTGGGGAGTTCACTAAATCTCTTCCAGGGAGTTTTGCCTCTTTCAGCAGCCACAACTCTGACTGTGGAGATAGCTGCCTGTTTCTTTTCAGTTAGACCATAAACTCTCTGCTGATACACCTAGCACTGAAGAGTGTAGTGCGGGCCTCCCTGCATGTAGGTATACTTGGCCAAGTATGTCAGTTTCCCTCTTGCTAGGAGGTCAAGTGCCCAAGTTTGGAAGCAAGAGACAAAATAATTACAGAAGCCAAACCTATGATGATAGGCAGTGTTTAGTGAGATTGTGCTGCTGCCCTGAGCAACCTGTAATTCACTGCCAGCCTCCCAGGAAAGCTCAAAGACACAAATAGGTTTCATCACTAGCTGTCGCTGCAGCCTGCTGTTCTCTAAGAGTTGGCATGACAACCATATTTCCTTTAAAAAAAATTCTCAAGGAGGAGTTTGCTTCCCAGTCCTACAAAGCTTTTATATTCTGGAAGTATTTCATTCTCTAGGCAGATTCTGTCCCTGCACCTCTTCTAACAGAACTGCAAAATACTTTGATGGATCCTGTGGCATACTGTTTTCTAGAGGGGTCATCTGCTAAGAAGTCCATTGCCTAGCACAGGCTTCAAGAACCAGAGGATTTGTTTGATCAGTTACAAGACCCTTAACGACAGTTGCATCTGGTTTCAGCTTCTCATTCAGTTTAATTGTTGGCTAGGGGACTAGTTTTATTCCCTATTTGTGAAGTTGATTTGAAATAGTTTTGCATGTTGGCTGGGGAAACATACCTGAGTACAAAATTAGCAGTGTTTCATTTATGTCGTGCAGACATGCAAAAGTCATGCTTGTTTTGCTGATCTAGGTATTGTAAGTGAAATTCAGGCATTTGCCCTGTAGTTAGTCAGTCTTGCACCAGTGATGGCTTCCACATATGCAGAATATCTGGCAAATACTGTTTAATATTATCATGGTATAAATTTTGTTTATGTTTGCTAAGTATGGTTATGTTGTATGATACAAATTTATCTAGCAGGAAAATTGCTGGGCATATTTTCAACTGTTCTTTCTCATCTGGAACTTTATATGACTTTGATTTTACACACTGTAGTACGTTAAAAGTTAGCTTTGGCAGCAGAGATAGTAAAGTTGGGCCAACTCATCACTAAAACTTTGTATAAATAACTAAAAATTTTTCAAATAGGTTTGTTTTCTGAGAGTGCTTCTCTTTTATGTATACAACTTTGGAATCAGTTCTAGAAAGATATTTTGAGACATGGTTTTGTAAACTGTGGTTGTGGAATTTAATTTTACAGTAGACTTTGTTAGATACCGAAATACCTGTGTGAAAAAATAGCATCACATTCAGTAACTGTTTCAAAAAGTCTGTACTGGAAGCTGAAATTCTGTGAAGGAGGAGAAAAGATACAACCTTCTACCCAGTGCATAGTTTATCTGTGTAGTTTATGAACATAATACCCTTGAACCCCAGGTTTTCTCTCTTCGTTACTCCTCTGTACCACTTCTGCTTACAATTTCAAAGTTTCCTGACTTGCTTCTAAACCTGTGTAACAGTCAAATAAGTGAGTATTTGCCCTGGGCATTTGGAGAAAGTTGCATTCTGATCTAAACTCTGCTCTGTAGTATTGAATTGCAGATCCAATTGGATTTGTTAAGCTATAGGGTAAAACAAGTTACATTTAAAGGACTGTCACTGAAGGCTTAAAAAGTCCACCATCCTAGGGTATTGTCTATTTTGTGACCAGCAATCATCAGGATGCCCCAGGTACTATTTTCTAATGTGCAGAGTGAGGCCAATGAGTTATGCAT